TGTATGTCCTTCTGTTCCTACTGCTGTTCAGCCTCTAAGAGCAAACTACTGTTTGACTAAATACACTGATGAAGTGTTAACACAGTCTTGATTCTCTAATTGGAAAAAAAGCTCAAGACAAATATGAAAGGCACCAGGTTTCTTGGTAACACCTTGGCATGGTTGATGTCCTTCAAAAATATGGCATGCTAAATTTTTAGTCTTCTTAGAAAACAGAACAAAACAGGAAAATACTAATGAAAAGTACCACAAGACCATTATACTGAAAATGTGCCCTCAAGTAGAGGGTTGGACGGTATATTTACTCAACTAGTTTGTTTAGTAGCATCATATAATCTGGATATTTGAAGGCGGTTGAAAACAAAAGGAGAGAGAGTTGAGATAAAGTCACAAGCCCAATTCTGCAAAATGAGAACTAAAATCACGGAGCTTAAAATCATGAAGGATATTTCTGAAAAAAATTCTTTCGGGTGTATAAATTACAGTAAAAGAAAGAGACTTCAACAAAGTAAAAATTACTGCATTATGAATATGACAACATAAATGTTCATGAAGAGGTCACTGAATAGTACAATTAGCATGGAATTTGGTGGCGGTGACAGTACCATCATTAAAGGAGTACATATTACGTCTAAATCTGAGGATTGACAGTGCCAGACATTGCTATAAGGGTACTGTTATTGTGGCAAGCAACCATGCTACAATGAAAGGAACCACACAAGCTGCATATACCTACTGGTAATATGCTTCATCTGCCTGGAGGCATGCATGCAGCTGCTGCCACCAGAGCCACACCAGGGCTCCAGAGTCTGGTGCAGCTGTTTGCAACCTTCTGGCTGCAGCCACCCTGGGCACCTGCTGCCACACACGGAGCCTGGGCTGCTTGCAGCAGGGCTTGCAGCCTCCCAGACATCTGCTGCGAACAAACTGGGCTCTGTGGCCAGCAGCAGTTGCCCAGAACCAGGGATAGCTATGGCTTGCCAAGCAAAATGGCCCTGCGTGCCATACTCTGGTACACGTGCCGGAGGTTGCTGACTCCTTCCTGGACTAGAGGATTAAACCCAAATCCAAAGTGAAACAACAGACCAATGGGAAAGTGAGCAAAGTGAGACAACTCCACCAAAGTGAGACAACTCCACCACCTGGGATAACAAGGAATAACAGCCACAAATTGATTGAGAGTAGGTTCAGGCTTGATATCAGGAGGCATTACTTTACAGTTAGGGCTGCCAGGCTCTGGAATGGGTTCCGAAGGGAGGTGCTGCTCTCCCCTACTTTGGGGGTCTTCAAGAAGAGGCTGGATAGATATCTGGCTGGGGTATTATGATCCCAGCACTCGTTCCTGCCCAGGCCAGGGGGTCAGACTTGATGATCTGTTCAGGTTCCTTCCGACCCTAGAAACCATGAAACTATTGTATTAAGTACTTCATTACTCCCATTTATAGAATGTACTGTTCCTAAATAAACATTTCCATCCATCCCTAGTCTATAAAGTCTTGATTAGCTGCTGTCACTATTACAGGACTAGCAGTCTCTTTTCTTCCCTATATTCCTTTCCTGGTGGCACATCTCACAAATTTATCTACCCATGATGGAATACCACAACTCTCCCACCATTACAGAAGGCCTTTGGCTACAGCTGTGATACAGAATAGCAAAGCATAGCTCATGGAGTATCTGGCATCTTCCCATTTCTGGGGTATAAATCTGCTTCTGATTATATGTTTGATTTTTATTTTTAAAACTTGATTATTACACACCTGAAAGTTCCATTTCCCTCCAGTACACACAAGCTTAGCATTATGTTGTCTTTCAACATTCCTGATATCACAAAAGAAAAACTGTAAAAATTAAACTGCAGAAAGTGTTTTATACACATAATATGCCACACTACTTAGATCTTTGCCTGTGTTGTTTAATTTGCACAGTGTGGTTTGGCAGGCTGATCTCCCAAAACATGGCAACTTGGCTTTAATAGTACTTTATGTTTGGATTCGATTTGTTTATATTAAATATTTATGAACCATAGCAAAACCTATAATAGTGTAATTATGTCATAAGGTGGAGGGGATGGTATTTTATTAGATTTTTTGGTTTTCATGGCATTCAAAATTTGTAATTCAATAAATGGTCCATCAAAAAGTCATACTCTGGTTAGGAAAGAACTAGACTTTTATAAAGGTCTTATTTGCTTTATCCAGCTATAAATATTAGGCATAGCAACTGAATTTACTGTAACAACACAAGTAAGTGTGAATGAAACAGTAAATTAAAAGCTGTGTGCCTGATAAGAAATTGTGCTTGTTTATCATGGCTTCATTACAAGATGCTGATTTTTCTTCTCCACATGTGGAAACCAACTATAAAAAAATTGTGCCACGCATCCCATAGATCACTTTCATTATAATCTTTATCCTATCAAAAGCAGGTGGGAATTAACAAATTGTTAACTAACCACACATTGCTGGAAGAGTTACAAAACAAGCCAAAAGGAGGTATGGGGATGGTATGAGCTGTTTTGGAACTGAATTATGACTGGCTATGGTCTTGGAGTGCATGGTCACAGGAAATGGCCAAAAAGAATGTGGAGTCTTGAGATGCACAACCTAAATACAAGATTCAGAAGTAGAAAGATTAAAATAAGGTCTGCCAGTAACTATTCCAGATAGACTTCGGGAGGGAGTTCATGAAGCAGTGGGACAATCTCTTAGCTTCTCTACCTCCTCAATCAGCTACCTCCTGCCAAACAACAGGGCTTATAGGCAGGAAAGATGTGATAATATGAATCCCACTAATTGTATCTCAATAATATTAACCAAAGTTATCCCTGTTTTTATACCCTATGTTTCAGAAGAGTGGGTAAGATACGCTTCTGATTCTTTTTGCTAGTAACCACTCAATTTTCAAAGCAATTCAGAAGAACTTTTAAAAACTGCAACTCTAATTTTAACCTAAAATTCTTCCATCATTTTTCACAGGTCCCTTACTTATAACACAGTGCATATTGTAGATAAGAGCTGCTTTTTTCTTAAGAATAATTAAACCAAGATTTCAGCAATTAAAATGAATCCAGTCCTCTTATTGTTTCAATTATCCTAAGTGGTTTTATTCAACTTATAACTAGGGGAACCATAATTGAATGTGTCCTTTTTCTTTATTTGTGTTATATGTACTGCTATCATTACAGGACATGAGATCATGTATTCTGAGCTTTCTTCATTTCGTTTTAGTATTTAAAGGGGAAAGCTTACATTTCCTTTAAAGGAACAATATCAGATAGGTTATACCAAACAGTCACAACTATATATTTTGGAACAGTATTTTTAAAAGATGGAAATATTTTTTTACATAATATAATCATTACGTTGATGTTGATTTTTTAAACATTTTTTAGCAAAAATTTCATGACAGAAACTGTTCTTAATAGGTCCAAGCATTGCTGGAGACTGAGTTACTAAGAGCCCCATGCTGGAGCGACCAACTTGGCTCTTACTGACCAAAGCTAGTTCAGAAAGCTATGTGAGTAAGGAGATGGTCTCCATCCACAGATATCAACATTAAATACCACCCCCCCCAGAAAAGAAATCCTGTTGGCAGCCACAAAATATATCACCAACACCACTTTCTCTCCCCTCCCTCCATACCTGGTGTTACAAGGGCTCCTGACATAGGGATCTATGGAATATTATACCCCATCCCAAATATCATACATCCTGTCATGCCAGATGTGGGAATAGAGATCAGGACTCTCTTCATACCTCCCTACAGGAATCCCTTCGTATCTTCCTACCTCCTGTCTCCTGGGTTGGCGGAGAGGGAGAAAGAGGGGAGAACTGGGAGTGGGGTGTGGGGGGCACAGTTTCCTGGTTCAATGCGAGTGTCTCTGGAAGGAAGGCAGGGGTGAAGGAAAGGCTTCTAGTTTCCCAGGTTCAGCTGGGAGGAGGAAGGAGGGCACTCAGCTATCTTTGGCAATCTCCAGAAGAGGAGAGCCATGCAAAGAACTGTTCTCTTTAGCTCTGGGCCTGGAGACAATGATTCCTTAAATACTTTCCACCTGCAGAACCAGGAGACCAAAGGCAAAGTGCTTAGCTGGCTCCTCATGCTGAGGGAGATCAAAGCCACAAGACTCAGTGACCCCCTTGTCATGCAGCCTGGTTGCAGATCACACTGCTCCACACCATCACAGCAATTATGAACCACTCCAACCAGGGGGCATAATGGGGGGGGAGGAGCATCATTTGAAGTACTTCAGAAGTTGCATCTGTCCAGCACCTCAGAGTGTAAAAGGAACTGGAAACAGTGTAAATAGAACGAGACAGAGGCAAGGCTGCAGCAAGGAAGATAGATAGCAAGTACCTTTAAAAAACAAGAACAAGGCTAAACAGTTAGATATGGGACTGAGAAGAGTGATCTAAATTCATATCACAGATACTTAACCTCTTCATGCAAATGGTCAGACTGACTAAATACGAATAATATTATTTACCCTCTTTTTTTAAAGTCCCTATGGCCCAGGGATGAAAAGCTCCATATCTGTCTTTTGTCTTTGGTTGTTTTTTTGTGTATAACTCTTGTCCTTCTGCCCCTTTGACAGGCATCACATTTCTCACATACAATGCACAGAATTTTTCCAAAAAACAGCAGCTAGAAATTGAGGTGTGCATTATAAGCACGGAAATATGGTAATGACATAAGCTTCTACTGGGAGTGGGACTAAAATTAACACTTCATGTGCTCTATAGGAAGGAGCACAATTCATTCTACCATTCAAAAACAAGATGCATGTCTTAATGGGGTGTGTGTTACATATGAAATATCAAATCAATTTGCAACTTATCAAAACATTTTACAGCAAATTCTTAGGTAATTTTAATGCTGACTTTTCATACATTTGAGAACTACTTTGGAAACAGATTTTCATACATTGCTCACTAAACTCTTAATTCACTGTAGGCTACACAACTAAACAGCATCAAACAAAAAGAAAAAAAAAAGCTTACTTGTAGAAGCGTCCCGTGAATAGGGTTCTGTCGTATACATGGACTAGTATAGTCTGGAAGCCCAGCCAGCAAGGATTGTACAGTGGATGGTATTTGGTTTACCATAACAAATGGAACAAGAGCCCGGCCTGCCATTTCACGTGAACGGTACACAGGTGAGTGGCCACATCTAAAAGATGAAGAAATGTGATGTTTGTTACCCATGTGTAGTGCACTGCTATGGCTACCATTTGACAGTTTCATATGTTCACTGAATACAATTTCTTTAAAAAAAATTCCAAAACAGACATCTAATATGAACGGCTAAATATAATAAATACTAAACTAAACACTACCTCCACAAATCATATTTATAACACTTCCATTAGCTAGTAATGAAAAGGGTCTATATCCAACCATGTAAACCAAAACAGATAAAGACTGCAGTTTGTTTTTCTTTCCTTGTCCTTTTTTAGGCAAATGATGATGGAACCACAGACCTACCTGTTCAGTAACACTCTGTTGCCCATTGTTTATGTTAATAGCAAACTTAATCATATTAGTTTTACTCAAGTAATTCTAAATATTCCTAAAACATTTTATATGCAGATATATATAATGCAGGTTAAAATTATAGTAAGACCAAGCTAAGCTTTCAAACTGTGATATACACTCTTAAGTCATTTACACATTTTCTTTAAAAAATACCCATTGTATACAACAGACAAGACATTGCAAAAATATCTTAAAAGGTGTATTGATAAGCTTTGATAGCACACATACATGCAGGCTAAAGACATTTTAATATTTCATTATGACTTATATTTTAAAAGCCCCAAAAGGCCTTAGACTACCCTTTTTTGTTATTTAAAGTGAAAAATAGTAGTAGTGTATGTCAATTTACAGAAATTACTTACAAAGAGTCCTTCCCACTCCCACAGGGTTGAAGAAATTAGCTTAATTGTAAAAATGGATAAAGCTACAACAAGGCTGAATAGGTTTAAGGTTGGATGAGGAGTATTAAAATGGTAATTTGGTGTTCTGCTATTTATCCAGCACATTACAAGTTTGAGAAAGACAAATCTGAGTAGTTAGCAGATATAAGCAGGACAAAGACCACCTAAATATTTCATTAAAATATGCATTAAGAAGGTCACCTGCTGCAAGTTAGCAACATTTTCTAGAGCATTTCCCAGCCTAATCAATACTTCCAGGCCTATTTATATTGAAGGGAAAAAAACAAACAAATCATAAACCCCAAGTATCTCTAATAATTAATGTACAGATATTAACTTAAAAGTTTATTTTACAGGAAAGGCAAAATACATTTGCAATATAAAGATGGTTTCCTAGCAAGTGAATTCAAAGGATCTTGATCACTTCACTACACAATAGATGTATTTAATTAACAGCACAATGTACCTGGCAATTTATTCATTTGAAGCCATACTGTGGCTCAAAGATACAAGCCTGTACTGGGAGAAGTGCAGAGCTATGCTGTCCCAGAAGCACAACTCTTGGAGCTACTTCATCCTCAGGATGAAACCACATCATTTCCATGAGTCCAATTTTTCCTTATCACCTTTAAGACATCTGTATCAGAGAGGTGATAATAGAAGGCTGGGCAATCCTTGCACTCTGAGGAAGTGCAAGAAGTAAGACTATGGGAAACCTTTACACCACAATCTAAAAAACAGTTTAACCAATTCTGCATATTGAACTTTTGGCTTTTACCTCTAGAAAGCCTCTAAACCTGCAATGACAAGTGCAGAAAAATAGCGGTTTAGTGATAGTAGGACGCCCCCACTCCCAACCCCCCATTTTTTTTAACATGAAGATGCTTCAATTCCACTACACAATAACCTCATTGCAGTAGAAAGTGACGCATCTACAACTTGTTCCCATGTTTGTGCCATACTGTGTTTTATGTTAACTGAGAGAATCTTGTATATAGATGTTTCTTTTCAAACACAAATAACTCTGACATGGTTACAGATGTTTAGTTTCTAATTAACAGTAACTGTATACTCAAGAATGCTCCTCATGGTGTTCATGACCTTTTACAAATGATGACTTCCCAAAGTAATCTGGCATCTATTCAGGAGAAAGAATGGAAAATGGGAAAAATGCCAGTCTACTCTAGCTAGATACCCTGTGCCAGGGCACTTTCTAAAATAAGATGGTTTGGAGGGGTTCCCCTGCCAATTTAACACAGGTAGATAAAATTAAATTCTATATTTTTTCCTAGTAATATAATTAAATATAGATTACAGGACAAATTTTAAGTAACTTAATTTTAAACCATGTCCTATTGCACCTTGCCTTAAACAGAAGCATAACCACATATTTTTGCTAAGTCATACAATTTTCCACATCAAAATTATTGCCAGATTACTGTTATATCTACTAAGGAAATGGGAAAAATAACCACAATAAATAATTATAGTTAACTAAAACAATTCCATGTGAGAGGTAAAATGTTCCCAAGCATTAATCTATGAAAGGAGTTAAGTGCCTAAGGTAGGATGTAGGCAAGTGCTTTACTGCTGCCATGTCTCTATTATGAAGAGCGATGGCTGGAGAATCTATGTAAAAGCATCTGTTGCTTCTCTTCAGCCAATTATGCATTGGGTCTTAACTTCAGGAGGTGGAATGCCCTGGATCCACATCCCAGCATTATTTCCCAATTTTTTCCAGATTGGTTCTGCTGATTATGGGGATCTCAGTAGATGAGGGAAAAGAAGAAATGCAGGTTTTCTTTTCAGTTAAAAAAAATATATGCAGTAGTGACTGAACAGTTTCACAAAAATGCGATCCCATGTATATTGGCACCACATATATTACTGCCCTAAATAAGTTCTAACTTACTGCACAAATAGTCAATTGATTCCAGTGATGCTATTCAGTGAGTGAAATCTTTGCCTCATTGAAGTAAACTGCAAAATTTTTACCGACTTCAGTGGTGTACATTCAACTTCCAAGAGTGAACACTATTATTCAGAAATCAAGAAAATGAATAGTAACAATTTAAACAATCCTAAATTACTAGTAACAAAGTGGCCATAGAGTCAATCTTCTACTTCAAAAACAGGTATTCAACTACTATTACTGTAGCAAATGTGAGATACAGTTATTGGCAAATAAGTTATAAATCACTTTTTTCTGAAAATTATGCTTTCAATAATTAAAGAAAAATTATTTAATGTAATCCAATAATTCTGGACTCTTTTTTTTTGCCTACACAGGTCTTTAAATATAGCTCTTGGTTCAAGAGTCACTTTTCCATCTTATGTTGTGAGCATTTTACCTCTCATATTCTATCTGAGAGGTAAAATGTTTCCAAGCATTAGCTAAGTTAAAACATAAATAAATGTTTTAACTCAAACAATTATTTTGCACAGTTGTAATGTAACAATCTAACCTTAGATGTACAATCTGCTGTGATAAAGAACAATGTGTACCATGGAGTTTCAGTCAATCTGCTCTCTAGTCTCTCATTTGCTCTGGAGAGGAAAATAAACTGCTACTATGCAGTCCTGGGCTGGGCTGGGCTGTCTGCTCCAGAGAGCAGGGCTGGCCTCACCCCTCTGCTCCCTAGATAAGGAAGTGAGGGCTGCCTCACTGGCCTCATTGGCTGCCTCACTGCTCCCCCCTCCCTTCTCCCTGTCCTCCCCCTCCCCCCCAGCAAACCCAGCTGGGGTCTGGGGAGGGGGTTTAAATTTCCCTTCCTCTGAGTACCGAGCTGACCTGCCCTGCTTGCTTACTGCTGGCTGTGACTGTGGACTACAAAACCCAGAGGCACCTGGAAACAAGAAGAGGAAGTAATGAGCAAACCTGCAGAGTCCTGCTGCTGTAATTGTGGACTACAAATCCCAGAGACTTTGGGGGGCAGCAGGAAGAAGCAGCAAACACACAGCCCATGCTGGTTATGTGGCCAGAGAATTGTGGTCTAGCATGCTTTCTCTCCCCCCACACCACCTTCTGGGTTGAGCCACTACAGGTATGTGGCTCCATTTCCTGAATCAAAAGTGAATGTCTGTGCATTTTCTTATTAGTTCAATCGTTGAAGCTTAGACTAACCTACAAAGACTGAATCAATTCAGTCTCAGGCCTTTTGATTGTCTGTATTTAGCCTCAGTATCTCTCCTTAGCATTCTGGAAGGATTTACTATGCCACAGAGCCTCACTTATTTGTATTGATGAGTGGAAGACCAACTTAAGAAAGCTCAATTTTTAATATTAGAAAACAAAATTTTAAAATCATCAATACTGCCTCATAAAATATGCTTAGTTCATTTGGACACAAAAACTGCAATATCTCACAATATAAGGTAACATATACTTGCAGAAGTACTTAATAACATGACATCTCAGAAGAATTATCCTTTTCAGGAAGGTCTAGCTGTGAAGAAGAGCAGCATCACAGAGCTCTACTAGGATCATCTGCTTTTCAAACAAAGGGAGAGTATCAGAAGCTTCTTCTGCATAACAAAAATGTCTCTAAACTGAAAACAGTTTGCATGTCCTGAAGTTTTGTACTGCTTTTTTTCCTGGCATATTAATACAAAAAGGGTTTTCCTTTTTCAAGATATACTACTGATAGAGCTCCATATGTGTTTTTAAAAACAACAATATACTACATTTAATAACCTATCAGTGAACTTAATTTTTTTGGTGTACTTGAAATGTGCACCTCTGGGGTTCCGAAGATATTCAGATTTATGCCGCAACCACAGTACAGAGGTTTACCAAAAGTACATAACATATACTCTGTAACAGTTTATTTCTTAGCAACAACAGGGTAACTTAGACTGGGAATGCAACATTTTGACTGCAGTCTCTCATTCACATATCTCCTGTTATCAGTAACTAAAGTCAAAAAAGGATTTATTGTAGAAAAGTGGGAGGTGGAAAAGGTTGAAACAATAGTCAGGCAACACATTCGATGTAAACAAGTCATAAAACTCCAACTTTGGGTGGCAATTCTGGCATGCTTGTTAGACCAGTTGTAAAGGAGACTCTCACAATATTTGAACCTGGCACTCCTTTCTATAAAACAATATTTCTTCCACCTGGCACTTTACAATAAACATGGGAAATGACCCACAAATCAAATCTAAACAATCTCCAAAGAATACAAAACGTCAGTCACAATCATTTAAACTATTTGCATCTGTACTGAAACCTAGG